GTTGCAAATTCTGATATCAATGGCAAAGCCAAGACTACCAACGCGGAAATCGCTCCTAGCCAAACATATACACCAAGTAGTTTGCCGGGTCAGACGAAGACCGACACTCGTGCAACCTCGGTAACTCGAGACAATGTAGTGTTGTTGCTTGGTGTCTGTATTGGTGGTGCTGTGTTGGTCATCATCACCATTCTTGTTTTCATGTTATTGAGAAGGAGCTCACGCACACGAGGGGCCAAGATAACTCGCAGGTATCACACCACTTGTTTCCAGCTACCAAACTGACGTTATGTTATTTGATCAATAGATGATCAATAGATGTCATTTGATCAATAGATGATTATGTCATTTGATCAATTTCTAAAGTTGTTTCTTTTTGGACTTTTTTTTATTAATTTCGTTAGGGTTAGAGTTAAGGTTGAGTTTCACAAATTCATGTACTATTTAAAACACGAGTAGGAGTGTTTTATCAGATATAAAACGCGAGGCGCAGCCGAGCGTTTTATGTCTGATAAAACACGACAACGAGTGTTTCGAATAGCTTAAAATACGACTACAAAAGAATACTGATTAGGATGAACCATTATATAAACATACGTACTAATTAGGATGAACAATTATATAATGCCACTTGCTTTATCAGATATAAAGTCACTCCACGTGACATATTATGGCCGACATGATTTGCCACAAGGTTTATGAATTATTAATGAGTATTTTAAGTACTATTTAAAAAACGAGCAGGAGTGTTTTATTAGGTTTAAAGCCACGAGCGCGCAGCGCGAGTGGCTTTAGACCTAATAAAACACGACCTGCGAGTTTTTTAAATGGCTTCAAAAACGTTTGCATAATAAGTCAAATCTTTATATAAAATCTTTATATAAAAATCTTTATATAAAAATCGTTATATAGTTTGCATAACAATGGTCTTTTGTTAAAGTGTTCTTTAGCTGGTATAAAGACGTATGCACGTGACTAATTTCTTACTCAAGATTGGATAATTGCTTCATGAATTATTAATGAGTTTTTGAAGTACTATTTAATAAACGAGTAGGAGTGTTTTATCACATATAAAACACGACGCGTAGCGGAGTGTTTTATATGTGATAAAACACGAACTACGAGTTTATTAAACAGCTTCAAAAACGTCTCAGTTAGATCACGGCATTGGCGAAATAATTTTCCAAAATTTTCCTTTTGGCTTTGTATTAGCTGAGAAAATACAAGTTGAAATTTGAAGCGTGTTTTATCACATATAAAGACACGCCACGCTTATGATTTCTCTTTGTGTTTTCCTCATGAATTATTAATGAGTTTTTGATGTGGACAAACAAAGCTTGCTAAAAGTCTTTGTATATATAACTGCATGTGCAGTTATATATGTTATATATACAAAGACTTGACTTTTAGCAAGCTTTGTTTGGCATATTTATTACTACGCAAAAAAACTAACTATATGTACACGAAGAGTGCATAATATCATATAGAGAGATGGTAACTTTATTGGATGAAACAGGGTTATAGTGACAACCTTTGAGGTATATAAATTAAGCGAAACTAAATGTATGTTGTTATCGACCGAGGAAACAGCGTGTTTTGTGGGCCACAAAACACACTGTTCAAAATCAAATCAAATTTTATTAATAAATATATAAACAATCTGTATATACAATACTATCCGCTAATAGTGAAGCTAAATAGCTAATCGAGGCGGATAGTAAAATGAAATTAAATAAGATGTGCTCGATGTATAAATAGAGAATAACACATGGGTGCGCGGAAATACCAGATTTCTTTCGAGTGTTGAACATGATATCTCACGAGTGAGTGCAGCGAACGAGTGAGATTGATCATGTTCAACACGAGAAAGAAATCTGGTATTTCCAAGCACCCTTGTATTTTTCTGTTTATTATATAAAGGACATGCAGTCTTTGAAAAGCCATAATTTTTACAGAAAAGCGATAATTGAAAAGCGATAATTTTCACATGTGAGATTATCATAAATAATCTCACATGTGAGATTATCACTTTTATCAGTGCTCGAAATCTCTATAAAACACTATACTTTATATAATAATAAGAAATTAGTCGTTATTTTCTTGTACAAAGTAGCCCAATATACTGATAGCACAAAACATTCAAGGAAGCATTAATTCCCTATTAATTACCAAGGAAGCACTATTTTCCATGCTTACTATGCACATATATTGAATTAATCGTCTCGCTCAATCTCAAATATGGTTAAAAGACTTTTCTGAACTTTCAAACTTTTTCTACCCAACTCCCGAACATCAGTGGGAATACTATATTCCAAACTTTGACCCCTGATTTTACAAAGAATGTGTTTGTTGTAGTTAGTTTTGACTACATGCAGGAGTTGATTCAATATAGAAGTTATTGGACACACAATGTCTAGTGTTATAAGTATGGACTTCTTTATTTTGATTGGATAAAACAACCAGAGATTGAAGATGGGCAAGAGCTATTTGAGTGATTACAGACATTACATAAATACCGGTTGCCCCTCGCCAAAGCATGCCGTGAACATGACGCTTTGTGGGCCGGCACGTGATACAGTTTTGACCAATCGGCAAACAGGAAAATTAGACCTTGACACTTGCTATATATAATAATTAGTATTATTATATATTCAAAGTCTATTCTTGTTCGTGATTGGTCAAAACGCGTCGGATAATTTTCGGTATCTCGAAACCGTCGCGTTATTTCAGCTGCTGACACCATTAGCATGCAATAATACTTTTTTGGACTGAAGTTCGGTCTGTGGTTACCAAGCCCCGGCGCGGTCCATTGTCGACTAAAAAGCGCGCGAAAAAATTCCATATTTGTAAAAGCGTAAACAAAATGGCTTTGCTTTTTTTCTGGCTTTTGAATATATAATAAAACAGTTATTGAATGAGGTTTTCGTATGATATCGAGAATTATCAAGGCTTCGGTTTCTGTAACTGTTATCCACCCCAGCCTTCGGTTTTCGGTAGTTATCTACCGGCGTTGATAATTCTCGATATCGTACTCAACCTCATTCAATAATTGTTTATTATTTGTAACTGTAGGATAACGAGGCACGTTGAGGACGTATTCTAAAAAGTCTTGTTTTTCTTTTTGTAGTTGAATCTCTTTTTCCATCATGCCAGGGACAAGAATCGCGGATGAAGATCGTAAGAAGATCGATAAGAAATTCATCTGTACCAGTTGTGACATGTTGTTGTGCATGCCCATGCAAACTCAATGTGGACACTTGATGTGTTTTGCTTGCGTGCAAGCATTGCTAGAGTATGTTGATTTTCTTTATTGCTATGCCTAAATACTCCTCGCTGCGAAAAATGCAACTATAGGCCCTCTGGCAGGAATTGAACCTGCAGGCCTCTCATTTCCGGTGCAGCGCTCTAACCAACTGAGCTCCAGAGCCAAAACAATCTGATATTTACCCATATAGCTAACGGTTAGAGCAAAACTGGACTCTGTAGCTCAGGTAACATGCATCTCATACTTCGGCAACGAATGTATTTCGTTTTGATCACCATCCCCAACCATGTTGTATGCGAAATATGAGGCCATGTCCGTCACCCAGTCGGCATCAGTGGATTGGTGCATATAATATTCGCTTATATTTTGGCATGGGCGATATTTGGCACGGTTGAACCGGCCTGCCTTGTGCCTCTGTCACTCTGCAGGCACAACGTGATACTTATCAAACGAGGTTTGATTATTTGATCCTTAAGATCGAATATTAAACAGTGCAATATTATGAAAACTATTCTTATTATTCAGGAGTTCAAACCCAAGATGTCCCGCAGATGGTACAGTACTTGAAAAAGAACAAGTGAGTGGTTCACATTTACATGTTTATATTCAGCCACGTTTGTTCCAAAAGTGGTAGGCATCTGAGATTGAGTCATACAAAAATTGTAATTGATGGCAGCGGCCATAATACTCAAATGTTTGGTTACCTTTATCCCATAGTATACTTACATTATCAGAACAGTGGTGATTACAATCATGGATGTAACATTCGAGATCATTCCTGTCAACATTGCAAAGTTAATATGCGTTGACAAAGTTCCGTCCAATGTAATTTTGTTGCAACTGTCATAAATATGTGTTGCATGGATTTGAATAAGCAAGCGAGGTTTTCGTCAACATGGACGTCAGATTGCCGAGAGGGAAGACTGGATTAAAAACTGTGTTTGTGTTAGTTTGTGGTAATCTTCAACACATGTGACAAAACATAAGATTTTAAACTGAAGTTTTTTGCTTCCTTACACGAGCGCTATGATGCAAAATGCCACCAAAAATTAGTTCTACCAATTTTCGAGTGACGTCCTTGTTGACAAAAACGTCGCTTTCTTAAGCTCACTAATAGTTAAACAATCACTCGAATCTTGGGCTTAAAAGGTTTGATATTAATCTCTTTCAGGTGTTTCCCGATGTTTTCACTAAACGTGAGCTGAATGGATTATGTTTGCATTGTACCAACCAAGGCTGTCCTTGGCATGGCACTTATGAAGCACTCGAGGTGAGTTGCGGTGGTAGAAGGAGAGAGGGAGAAAGACGAGAAAACCCTTCGAGAGAAAATTGTTGACTCTCATTCACACAGCAGCAGCAAATGAAACTAAGACAGTCCATTAGTCCAACTTATAATAGAACCATTTCTTTGTTATTTAGGGACATTCTGCTGTCTGTGAACACGCTTTGATAAACTGTATCCATTCGCGATGCAAGATGAAATTCCAACGCTCTAACTTGGGTGAACACTTGAAAAGTGAATGTGAATATCGCAATGTGAAGTGTGATTTTTGTGGGAAAGATGTCACCTTTGCCTCGATGAAGGTAAGTAAAAATAAAGTAACTTTTGAAAACAGTTTGAACAATCCTGGAAGTCACGTCGTCTTATGTAATTAACCTCAAACCTTGCAATAATCCTTGAACCAGTACGGTATACTCAGTTTTATTCACTATTCTTCTAGGAACATGTTGATACAAGCTGTGAAGGTGCGCCCGTGACTTGCAAATACTGTAAGAAAAATGTCTTGAGAAAAGACATTGAAAGACACGAGAGACGCGATTGCGACGAGGTTCCGGCGACGTGCGAGTATCAAGATGTAGGATGCAACCACGATAAGGTAATAGTTACTTGCTGTATTCATTGACACACACAGGTTTTCTCCCGATAATTCTGTTACAGTTCCTCCTGTTGTAACTTTGCACCAATATAGGATGTGCCTTCGCCTTATTAGAGCTATCCAGTATAAGCTTAATTTGAGCAGTAAGGGATGAGTAGCACAAATAAATAAGATTTACCTCATTTAACCCGCACCAGTTGCCTCAATGTTAGCTTTTTACGTGTGTAGATGAGCAAATGCTCAATTAAATGCTGAACTGACAAACGCTCAATTACCCAATAGTCTTCTATATATCATTATTTGGCATTCATCTTTGATACATTTTGTAGACTTTGAAGCGAAAGGAACTGCGCCAACATTTGAATGATGGATTGATAGAACATGGTGGACAACTACTGCGATATACTCTCGCCGTTGCTTCTCAACTAAACGACTTCATCCCACGTCCAGAATTTACAGGGATGTCGCAGAGAATCCGAGACGACATCACCGAAGTTCGTTCTGGATTAGCCGAGAAGTTTGTAATGGTTGTTGGAAAGTTAACTGGCTTGGAAAGACGGATTGAAGGTTTGGAATCCAGTGGTGGGGGTGATACAAGGATTAGAAATGAAGTGCATGAGCTACAAAGTAAAATTAGAGACCTTACTACAGAAAGCAGCAACTTACGTGAACGGAATATGAGTGTAGAACGAGAAGTGAGAGATAAAGTCTCAATTATTGATCGTTTGCGAAGTAGGATGGATCAAATGGATGAGTCTCTTGCTCTGAATACAGTCAAAATTACCGATTTGGAGTCTCAAAGAGGTCCGCGTGCACAACAAGCTATCCATAGCTATAATGGCACTTTACTATGGAAGATTGAAAGCTATCAGAGAAAACGGCAAGATGCCATCAACGGAGTCAAGACGGCCTTGTACAGTCCACCTTTCTACAGCGCTCAGTATGGTTACAAGATGTGTGCTAAAATATATTTGAATGGGGATGGTTTTGGAAAAGGATCGCATTTGTCGCTGTTTTTTGTTGTGACGCGAGGCGACTACGATGCTCTTCAAACCTGGCCATTTCAAAAGAAGATCACGATGATGTTGTTGGATCAAGGCAATGGAGATCATATGATTGATGCGTTTAATTCAGATCCTCAAAGTTCATCTTTTCAACGTCCGAAGTCTGATATGAATATCGCTTCGGGTTCCCCGCTCTTTATGCCTCTTGATAGCTTGAATAATCGTCAGTACATCAAGGATGATCTCCTGTTTATTAAGATTATCGTCGATTGATGTAGATTCTGGAGTCATCTATTTGGTCCGTAATAAAACTGGGCGAAATGTTGGATGAAAGCTTACAGCTAAGTTCAGTTCAGAGGGTGTCCGCCATATTGTCAACCGAAACATGAAGAATTTTGTGTTTTCATCAACAATGCTTACAGGCAAGTGGCAGTTAGCGTTCCCGAGGGTGTCCTAATGTCCTAATTAGATGCCCAATTGAGCGTATCAAACATTTATACTTTTACGACTTAACCTGAGCGTGTATCATCACCACAGCTTAAGTCCACGGCCAGTGTATCGTTACCCTAGTAATTAATTTGAATTTTTGGAACTACCTCGAAAAAAAACTAAGGGCATTGCATTAAATCCTAATTGTATGATAATTCTTATCTAAGCATCCGGATTGATAGCATTGGCTAAAATCGAGGATTGAACATTAATGAAGATGGAGACAGGATAGAGCATTATGTGGGAAATAAGGGGGAATTGGATATCACTGGAAAATAATACTAGTCTTCCTCAAATTATGGTAAGTTTTAGCTGGAAGGAAAAGTATTGTAATTTGGCTTATAATATAGAAATTTCATACACGTCCGACAAAATTGATGTCAAATTACGTGGTAAGAAAAACGATATCACGTAAATTTCATTAGTTTTGGAGCGAATCATCGGTAGGCGTCCGCCTTGTAATCGCGCTCAAACACATATAGATTAGTTTTTGCCAACAGATTTGAATATTAAACCGCCTGATCGGAGGTCTGGGGCCAATCGAGTTTAATCTTGGGTTAACTTGAAATTTCAAAAAAACCTTTGATCTTGTCTTGAAATTTTTTATTTTATATTTATATACTTATCATTATATTATCGTTTTATAGGGACTGCTCCAACTTTGAAATGGTGATTAATGGTTCTCTGGTCCAAAAACTATTGAAGAGTATTAAACACGAATAATAAGAAAATAATTCTTCATGTACTGTGCTGGAATTGAAATCAGGGATTATAATTCAGTAATCTTTTTCAGCCCTGGAACAAACTGACTCGTATTCTGAATCTGAATATGGCAATAATTGGTTGCACGATCAAGATGGAATCACGAGATAAGAGAAGTCAACATATGTAGACGTTCTAAACTGACTAACACTATCAAACATTACCGATATGTGATAATTAGGCCTATTTACGAAAGCCGCTCGGCGCAGTAAAAGTGTGCCTTCAGGGAAGACGCAGGGGTATCATACAAATGTGTATCATTGGATTTCCCTGGAACGCGGGAAGTACTTCCAATAATCAACGACTATTAAACACGAATCAGAGAATAACAGTATATTTATTAACAATCTTGGCAAATTTCAATTGCAGTACAATTATGACATGGCAGATTATAGGGTAGTTATGGCATAACAATTTGACATGAATTTTCCGCGTAGTCGAATAAATTTGAAAATGGCTTATGATGACAAAGTTTTCATGAAAGAAGCTCGCTTGCTGGGAAAGAGGAGGTTAAATATCGATTCTCTTCTTTGCTCAAACAAGTTTGAAAATTGCAAATGAGTCAGACTTACGTATTTAGCCTGGTCTGGACCTTTGAAAAGAACTAAAACTACATGTGAATGTAGAAGACCGTATTTGGAAACGCGTTATTTTGGCGAAATCTTTTCAGTGTGTGGATGATGATGAAGAGCATCCTATATTAATTCTCATAAAAAAAGCTTGCTCAATGGCAGTTACAGTAGATGAGTAGAGTCCAGAGGGTGTCTAAATCATGTCAATTACATCACCGGTAGAAGAAAGTTGAATATATGCTGAAGATGTTATCTACTGATCTACAAATCCCATAGTCGATAGAATAAGGTTAGGGAACTCGATACAGACATAACAGACCTCATTATCTATGTTTTTAAATTGGTTTATGCAAAAAATGGTCGGTTCATCGTCACGTGTGTATTGATTTTACGCCCAACCAACGAATAGCAGTGTGTTGCTTTAATTACCCAGTCGTGATATTACACAATGGTTAAATGAAAACGTAGCTATTGGTTTCTCTAACCTTATTCTATTGACTATGCTTCAATATTATAAATGGCTCTATGATTGAGTGAAGCCAACTTGAACTTGGGGCCCAATAGAGATCCTGATAGCCAATTAGAATAATTCAGGAATTATTAATTTCCCCCTGATTGCAGGTTAATGTTTCACTCAATTTTTATATGACTCCAGTTATCAGTTCAGTCACTGG